TTTGGTTTGTCCGTTCTGGGCTAAACATGCCAGTTGAACATGGTAACCTCAGTAGAAGAGGTATATAGATAAAAATGTTCATTCTAAAGGTAACGGAAACACAACAATTCTTATTTTCAGGTGATTATACACTAATGAAAACATGCCTATGAACATTATAATTCATTTCTGCCCATATCTGCACTGAATCTTTAAAAAAATGTAAAAATGTAGAGTTAGATTTATTATGTGGGTTCCAACCTTTGACAACACTGATGAGCTTTTCCATGTGGTCATGTGTTTTGCCATTGTACACCACAGCAGCAACAGAGAAGATCAGTTTGGGCTGGATTTGAGAAAACCTGTCAAGGACACCCTGAGAAGAAATAGAGAGAGGGATGGTTAAACTGGAGGAAAGTGAAAAGTAAGAACAAATTATTAGAACCACAGAAAACCGTCAAGTCTGCAAAAAACCTTGAACTTAAGTTATCCACGACTCTCATAAAAGTAAATCTAGAATGGTCATGTTTGATAGAAAATAATTCTGAGATTAAATTAGGGGAGTGGGCTTTTTAACCAAAAAGAAGCGCACTGAAGTAAGCAGACAGGAAAGGCAAAATAAAATCAATCAGTATGTATGCTCTGCAACACCAGTGTAACATATAACACCAGTGCAAAACAGGAGCCTATTAGTATAAGCAAAGAATGAAGGAAGCAATGGCAGAGTAACAGTAAATTCAGAGGGAGGAGATGAGCTCAAGACAAAATGTCTGCACAATATACCTTTATATCTTACATCTGTACATTACTACCTAATTAAAGCATCAACTGGAAAAAATATAGTCAAATAACTTCCTCCTAAGGTTGAGGACATGTTTTGATTGTAAATGTAGTTCTCTGATCTGCCAGACGGGGCAGTAGCACACCACAAAAGGGAAGCAGAGACCGAGATGACAGAGAGACTATTAAAGGGTATGATGTTAATTACACTCACACACACACACGAGCTCTCATTTTGCCTGACAGACCTCATTGCTCTGTATACATATGTTTGTTTGCACATGTCTTTTTTCTCCACAATCATGAATCCACTATTTTGAATTGATAAAAGAACATTGGCCCAGTATAACTGTACTGTATATGGAGGAAGACATGAGCTCTGCCAGGATGAAAATAAAAACTGCCACTCTGACATGCTATGTCTAAACCAACAGATTAAGTAGGTTTTGTTTAGTTTATTTGTACTATTTGGCTCTCAAAGCACTTCTCATCTGTTTCTTGTTTCGTACTGTTTTGTTTTTTTTGTGTGTGTTGTACGGTGTCCTCGAGTGCCCAGAGAGTAAAATGTATTATTATTATTATGAATGGGAAAGTGTTCCTATTATAAAATCTAAATACAACGAGACAATAAAGTGTTATGATACAGCAGCCAATGTGGAACAAGAAAGTATCACTCAAACATATGTAGAAAAAAACAGAAGCCAGAATGAGTACAGTGCAGTCCTTACATTGACTCCAAAGTCGACAGACGTGGAGCTCCAAATGGCTCCGATGCTGGCTGCTGCTAACATGGCCTCCACTGCATGGATACCATTGGGTAGGTAGCCTAAATGGGAAGGAAGTCAATGAGTTTAAGCAGCAGTCCGTAAGATTCCTTCAGTATTCCCTAAGGATTATGATGGCTTTTGATAAACATACAGATCTACAGAAGAATAAAATATACATATAAACAAACTGACAACATGGCAGTGCACCAGCTTACCTACGATAGCACATTTACAGACAAATACTTCTAGTAGATTTTATTCTCAAAATGCCCAACAGCACAAAATGTATGTTCATAAATGACTTATGCAGCACTATTACCCAGACCACACATATGTGACAGGAACCTAGACTTTTCTATAGTTTGTTAGACTTTCAGTGTTCTCTTGAGATGTAAAATCTCAAGAGTAACTGGAAAGAGAAACTGGATTTGTTATGTAGTCTCTGCCTCACAACTGCAGAATACCACACATTAAGTCATCTCACTGAAAGAACAGTGGAAAAAGACACATAGATAAGATAGAGAAGGGACGAGGCAGAACGATACTGAGCGAAAACAATCGGGATGAAAGGAGACGAGAGAAATGAGAATGTAAAAAGAGGGGGGGGGGGAGAGAGAGGGAGGGAGAGATGTGATGAATATTAACCAGAGCAGTGAGAATATTTCATTCTTAACAAGCAGAGCTGAGATTATAAGTGCTGTCTCGCTGTAATATATAATCCTTGATCAATATAGTAAATGGTGTCCAAGGACACTACCGGTCTTCTCACTGGACAGACTCAGACAACCAGCAACAGGGAGAGCGACAGAGAGAGACATGAAGAATACCAAACTGGGATGCACAGTATTTAAACTTGTGCCATTATCTGCCTTTCACTCCCATGTTAATTTCAGATCATGTGTCAATGCAATGACACATGACATGAAGTCAGCCCAAGCTCCACACAGGAGCTCTCATGCTACCTTTAAACCCAGGGCTGATAACATGTATCTAATCTAACGTGATAAAACGATAATAAAAACAGCCGGTAGTTGCAGCCAAGCAATCTGACTGCTCAAAGGCAACCATGCTGTCACTTCGTATAAACTGTGACTAATCGCAGATTTAGCGGTTACTATGCCGACTCCTGCTGTAACCAGGAAGCTGATCCCAGATAGATGACACCTCAGGCTGACAGATCACCATCCTGCTACACTGGCTCTACAGACACTCTCATAAAATATTGTCCTCTTACACCGGACCAGGACAAATAGCGCCATGGATCATAATCTTACGACAACCCCTCGCTTGACTGCCTCTGTGGTTACTGTTATGAATCTTTTTATGTTGTAGCAACACTGCTTACACATTAAAGCAACACGCTGCTGTTCCTATCTATAAAACATTTCAGGTCTACGTGCATGTTGTTAACCACTGAATGAAAGCCAACTTGGCCTCCAGGAAGTAAATGGGTACTTGCACCACTTCATATTAAAATGCACTGTCATAGTGCTATAACATTTTGGTTACTGTTTTTTTAGGTTACAGAAGCAAGAATACGATCACTTATGTAAAATCAGCTCAGAGAAAAATAGGGTAAAACTAATTCTAGCACTGCAGGGGGAAACTCTGTGGAGTCAGGTTGGTTTGTCGACACTGCAAGACTTAAGAGGAGATGAGATTTAACGAGTGTCTTAACCAGAGTTAAACCATGTTGACCTCACTGGTGCAATGTTGTGGAGCTAACATGGCCACCACTGAAAACAGCCAAGTTCAGAGTTGTTCAAGTATAACATGTTGGATAGTTGTTGTTCAGGGATGTGTTTTCTACATTCTAAATATGTATTTGATTGGCAGATATTATTTAACATTTTAAAGCTGCTACATTTTTGTTTTATACTACTGACTCAACATTCAGATTACTCAACACTAAAAGACTGTGATTGCACAATGAATGTTTCCCGGTGGATGAACAGTGGGCGTGAGGGCCTGATACAAGCTCCCTAACAGGGTGGAGGGTGAGTTTGAGGGTGACAGGACCAAGGAGAAGAGCAACAGAACTAAAAGGTTCATAAAAAGGAGAATACATACGTGTGTGTGCGTGCGTGTGTCCGTGTGTGTGCGTGTGTGCGCGTGTCTGCTATAAAGCTTGGCTGGTTTCATCAGCTAAGTGGTTATATATCTCCTGGATTACAGACACTGACAAGACATTTTAGTTACAACTTGGGGACAAGGACATCCACACACGTAAGTGAGCACACACATTTAAACACACATACACACACAGACACACATTTAAACACACATACACACACAGACACACACACACACACACACACAGATTTGTGTTAGATATCTGAGGAAAGTAATGGAAAGAAGAGATAAAGGAGGCATGAAGTAGTTGTTGTCTCTCTCTCTCTCTCTCCCTGTGTTTTTCTAGCTGTCTCTCCCTTTCTGTCCACCCTTCTATCGCTCCCATCTTTCTAATGAGATTCCCACAAAGCTTAAGTGATTTAGCTAATGGAATTCCCTACCGCAATCCATCTCTTCTCTGAGCACACACACAAGCTTACATACACTCCCTGGTCATTCCTGGACCGAGCAGCTCAGTTTGAGCTCATGGACAGCAGCCATAGACATTAGTCACTTTGCTGCTTCAAAATAAAAGCAGGGAAATCCTTGAACATATGTGGGGGAATTTAGGCTGCATGATTTGAAGACAACTCGTTTTCACTGGTTATGTCAGAATACAGTCCTATGGCTGGCTTCACCTACCCATGATATGATTGCTCTTTTTATGAATACTCACATTCATTATTGAATAGACTTACAGGGAGGTGGCCAGTACAACCACAGGTTCTCTTAGAGTCAAAGAGTCAAAGCTCTTGTAGTTAAGGACTGGCAGACAACCCAGATGTCCCATCAGTTTTCTCTTGCACATCATACACACACACACACACACGTATTTTTTGTGACCTCTGAACTATTGAACTTGTTCTCCGTCATCTTTATCTAGACAAAAAAAGTTTGCCACAAAAATATGGTGTAAACATGTTCAATCCAGCAAAAACCGAAGATGTCTGAGAGAATGAAAGGTACTATTTGACAACCCATGTGTAACTGAAGCCCTGGAGCCACTGGCACAGCACAAACAGCTCCATACACATTGCTGTGTCACTGCTGGAAATATGGTACAGAGAATGAAACAGACAATGATAGATAAGATTCAGTGAAGTCAGACATTTGTCTGTTTTAAGAAACTGTGTGAGAGACATTGTTATTACATTATATTATATTATATTCAGCTATTATACATGCCCATATAAAAAAAATTGCTTACTCCACAACAGTAGAGTAACACAGGCATCCATTTTGAGATCCAAAAGCCTGATAATGCCACCAAACGTATTTGTTTTCTTTCTTCAAGGAGTCTGGTCAACAAAAGCTTTAGTTGAGAAGGCTTAAAAGCTTTTGTTTAACAACCCTAAAGTAACTAAACTCCACATAGCTGAACAGGTCTGACAGCTCAATATGCATTATGTGACAAAAAAACTGCAACAGTGACTAAGATAAGAGCATTTGACCCTTAAAATGGTTTTCAAATGGCATGCACTGAAGCTCCAGTTGCTGCAATGGTGCTCCTCAGTGGCAGTTTATACTGTAGTTTGCAGGTACTCACGTGTAGATCTAAATGAATGTGCTGCACAGTGGGGCCTTGCAGAAAAAAAAAAAGCCTCCTCAGGCATTCCTCCCTGTACAAATATGAACCTTGAAAAAGTAAATGGTGACTTTCAGAAAGAGCTGCAACTTGTGCCAAGACAGCCAGCTCTCCTTACCAGTGAGCACAACACACACAGAGCTATGGCAAAAGAGCCCATGTCCAACTCATGCTGCAACTGCTTCCAAATAAGAAAGAAGGAAGCAGTGAGAGGGAAGGAGAGGATGAAGAAGTCAGGAGGAGAGCAATGAACCTATTTACCAATGAATCACTTGTCGTGTATAAAACGCTAGTGCCACTCTTACACATTCTCATTCTCCCGCTGTGAGACACAGAGCGATAAATGTGAGACTTACCTACGACCCTGTCTCCAGTCTGGACGCCCATCTTCCTCATGGCTGCAGCAAACAACGCCACGTCGCTCCTCAGCTCCCCAAACGTCACCTTCACAATCTCATCATTTGCCTCCGCTGGTGGACAGAGAGACAAGGAAGAACAGAAATAAGAGATAAATACGGACAAAAAATTTATTCTTGAAATGAAGGACACCTGGATGTAGTCTGATTGTGTACCACTTTGTTAATGTTGGTTTGACTTATGGGTTGACATTAATTCCAGTAAAACCTGTGACATTCAAATCCACGAAAAAAAGGAAAACGTGGAGACAGAGATGAAGACATAAATAGAGATGGATAGTGTGGCAGAACAGAAACCACAGACAGGAACAGTCTTCTTGTCTCTAAGTAATAGTTCACTGACATTCACAGAGGCAGCATCATGACCAATGGGCCTCCTCATAATTACATTACAGTTCCTGGGCAAGGCTGCGTGTGTATATGTGTGTGTGT